TTGAAGAATATATTTGCAGTAGGCAGGCATTAAAGTCTGCCTTAAAAATTCATTCTCACAATGTCTGTTTGCTTTGTCATTTCCAATTCTGCTGAGGTAGGGGGCTGCAGGTGATGGTACGGACAGGAATTAAGCATGTATATTAAGTCACTTCATTTAAACATTGCTCAGAAATGACGTTGGAGGTTGGTTGAAATCTGCAAGCAAAGGTTAATAATCTGTGTTGTGAAATGAAGGAATGAAGTGAAGGTCAACATTTCCTCAGGAAACTGAGAAGTCATGGTCAACCTCCAAGAATACCATTTTTCTTAGATTCCCTAGGTTCTAGAAAGGAAATAGGCTGGGTACTTGGGAATCTGAGGTTAATTTATCAAACACTGGGATTATCACCTCCCTCAGTCAAGGAAGGGAAGCTAAGGTTGCCTTCCATCTGTTGTGCCAGCTGTTCTGGAAAGCTGGGAAGTCACCTGAGGGATAGAAGAGTTGAAGGATAGATGTCCAACTTTGTGACTCAAGATCATGTTTGGGGAAGGAGGGCCATCAGCTAAGGATACAAGGTAGGACCATATGAAGAGCATTCTACATGATATCTTGGCTTAAATGTCTGAGAGAGAGAACTATAAATTCAGAAGAGTAGAATTACCTAAGGCTTGTTGGCCAGAGCAGCTCAGCCTTCAGAGGGTATATTCGTCTACTTGAGGTATAAAGAATTATGAGTGCAGGTAGAAACCGACACAACAGGTAGTCAGGAACAGAGACTGCCCCACCAAGGAGGAGAAAGTGGACTTGGCCAGTGGTGCCTGGGCAGGACTCACTGAAGTGACTGAAGTTGTGGAGACTCCCATACCTTATGGGTATTCTTATGCTCCACATTCATATGTACAACTGAACAATTCCTCCGAATTCTGAAATTCAACATTTCCAGAAATGAATGTGTTAGCCAAATTAACTTCTCTTTCTATATTCTCCAGCTCAGCCATCTATCCAGGCATCCTGCCCGTCAATCCTTACATCCAACCAGACAAACTACTCAGTCTTCCCATTCCCCAGACTCCATGCCTGTACTGCTGTCTTGGTTCAGGACTTCCTTCTGGAAACTACACATAGCCACCAAACTATTGAATAAAAATACAAATATGGCAGTATCACTCTACTGCTAAAGTCAGTGGCCTCCCCCTTTGCTGCCTATAGGATAAGAAGCAAGCTCCTTTGCATGGAAAATAGTGTGCTGGCAGACCAGTTCTCTGAAGAAAAAAAGCCCTAATTTGTAGTGTTTGCAATTTCCATGGTGTAAATACTCCCACCATGGCCAATTTCAAGCTACCACAGTTTAACAGGCAGATCACAAAATGTCTGAATATTTACTAAGTGGCTGCTAGCTGGCTCCAGCACACCAAGTGCATCAAGCCCTTGAAAATGTGGTCCCTGCCCTCTTATGACTGGCTGATCCTTTCCTCAGACTTTATGCTCTAGGACGTGGTTATAGCTCTCTGCACATTCCAGGCTGTTTTTCACCTGCATGCTTTCATTCATGCTGCCCGAAGTTCTCTCCATGTATTCCCTTCTTACCCTTTCTTGGGGTGAAACTCTTACCTCCTTCATCTTTTTAAATTCTTCCACTCCTTCGGGACCTGGTTTAGGTGGGCCCTCAAGGAAGACTTCTTCCCTGTGTTCTCCTTCTCTTCATTTGGGTAGCCCAGAAGCAGGCCCTGAGATGAGGATTCATGTGCATTTATTAGTAGGTGTTCCCAGGTAAAACTAACAGGGGAGTGGGGAAGATGGACTGGGAAGGGAGGAAGATAGGCAAGGCTGTGATAAGCCGTGGACAGTGACTTCGGCCCCAGTCCATGGGGGACTTTTGGATATAGCATAGCATACACTTCAGCAGATCTTGATAAGCATCAAAGGGGCTGGTGTGCTTGCATCCCCACACCTGTCAGTCACTGGGGCTGCTTCTGGGGAAGTAAATTCCCAGACACTTCAGCTCCCTGGGCATGTGCGCAAAGTGGGCTTCTGCAGCCTGAGAGCTGTCCCCCAACTGGGAGCCACAGTGCCGGCTGCTGCGAGTGCAAGCGGCCTGAAGCTGATGTGTACGGAAGGCAAAGGGATTCCAGGAGATACGGGTGGAGCACTGACAGCACCCATCCTGTCCCCTGCTGCCTAAAACATGGACACAGGCACACACACCCCTCAGGCTTGTTTGAGTTCCCCTCCTCAACACTTCTATACTATCCTGGCTCTATCACCATCACTGCAGTTACCCCATGTTTTAGAATCATTTCTTCATGTGTCAGTGTCCTTCATTTTACTGTGACCACCTTGAGGATAGGAATTGTCTTTACAGTACAGTGCCAGGCATACAATAGGTATTTATGAACGTGGATAGATTAAAAGCACAAGAGAGGAGACCATGGTGGCAACACAAGTGGAAGTAGTTGCAGTTGGGGAAGGAACATAGGTGAAGCCGAGTCTCAGAAAGCCCGGATGGGAAGTTGAGGCACCCGAGTTTGAATATAGCCTAGGTCTTAAGCTTTGCCCCCTTCCCCCATGTTTGGTGTGGCCTGCAAAGATAGCATTAACACAGAATTAACTTGGTAAAACTGGAAAATGGTTCTCCAGCAACCTGGGGATTAGCTTGCTGGTATTTTTCCTTTCAAGAAATATTCTAAATTATTAGGTGCAATTAGAAATTATGAGTAAAATGTTGGCCTTATGAAAGAACCTGTGCCTGCCTTCCAAGCCAGAGGTTAGAGGAGGTGTGAGTGCATTGTTCATAGGATTTCCCTGAAGTCTGATTAGCATCTAAGTATACTTCAAATTACAGCTCAGCTGTTGCCATTATATAATTATGGATATTACTAGCATGTCTAATATCACAAGTAACAGAGAGGGCATATTTGAAATGGGACCTGTACCAGTTGGCCAGTAGATACTGCAGAGTTCAGTTTTGCACTGCCACCAGGACCATCTGTGTGTGCCAAACAAAACCTTATGAAGATGATGGATATTAGGAAAGTAATGAGAGAGTAGTATGTCTTCTTCCTCCCCTCTCTCAAATGAACAGTTTAATGTAATTGGTTAAACTACACAATCTGAAAGGAAAAGCGAATTCTAATTACCATTGTTAGAAAACCATTCACCCTCTGCCCTCAAATACTGGGATATTTCTTTCTTGCCAACTCTGTTCTCTTGGAATTTAAGGCTTTTGAACCAACTGGAGTTAACTGGTGGGCATTTGAGTGACATGAAATTCAAGAACAAAAGGAGGTATGATAATTATCTGGGAAAAGTGATAAATATCCTAACAAGAAAAAGCTTAAAAGTATGACATAGAAACTGAGATTAGACCTAATATAAATTACAATATTGTTAAACAATTTTGTTAAAACAACAAACTTAACATTTAGTAAAAATCCATGATCTCCCTTGTCCCTAGTCTAATGGTGGCCTCATCAATTTCTCAAGAACTCAGGGATGAGGTCACCCATCTCTTTTAGCCCCTCTATCCAGTTATGGAGGTCCTCCTTCTCATCCCTTTAGAATGTTATGTACACAGATCTGGCCTTGGGATAGAGCAGGTGTCTGTTGACATGACTTTGAGGGGTTTCAGGGGACATCATTATTGTGGGTCTGGAAGATGGCTTGGTTTTTAAGGAGTGCACAAATTCAACCTCTGTGAAAACGGGCGATAAATCTATTGGTTGACATCCACAGGCTTAAAGGAATTGGTTGGAAAGATATGAAGCCAAGGGTTTGAACATTGGTTGGAGGATAGAGCAGGAAGAAGGAAAGAAAATCAGGAGCAGAGAGAGGGTGCTGGCAGCAAAATATCTACTTCACGGTTTTGATGAGATCTGGTTGTATGTGTAACATCCCACTCTGGCTTATGCTTTTCAAGATCACATCCCTATATCCTTTCAAATTCACCAACCTGTCAAGAGATGTTGGACTAATTTCTCTCTATACTGCTTCAACCCCGTTTGTCGTTTCACTTCCTGTTGAATCTATCTGATCTTCCCCTGTTTCTTCAGCTGGGCCCACCCCTCAGACACTGGCTGATAAAAATTAAACTAGCAGCTTTAATCTAATGCAGCCACCCACCCCACCTGAGACAATCCCCTGCTCCCACCCTTTTTTCCTCAAATCCTCACCACTTCTTGTGGCCGCAGGTGCCTGGCAATGCATCACCCTCCTCTGTCCTCTTTCACACTTCCATGCCCTGGTACTTCCTCTGGCATTCGTACCTTGGCACCCCTTTTCCCAGCTTCAGTTTTGCTTACTCTTGGCCTCAAAAGTGCTCCCTGTTGCCTGCTCTAGCCCCCATCCCTGCATCTTGGAGGAAAGGAAGACAATGTTCTTGTCTAATTCCCACTGCAAATCTGGGAGCTAATTCTGCCAAAAGAGCCATGTGGCATTTTAATGAAAGATTGAAAGCATGCAGAGGACGAGTGTAATGTTCAGTGGTTGGTTGTGGTGAAATATCCATCTGCATAATTAGAGTCACTCTCCTTGTAGCACCTGCCTTTGACCTCACTACAGGGCATGTTAGCTTTTTACAAATGGTCCTTTGCTAGCTTGTTTTCAATATTCACTAAAAATTGCACATTTTCTGGGTATTTGTAGCCCTGCTGAGTGCTTTACTTCACAACCTGTTTCTTATTAAGAATAGAGCCTGATGAAAATTACGTACTTGAATCTGAAGCGGTGCTTCTCAAACTGGGAAACCCACACAGATCACCTGGGGGTCTTGTTAAAAATGCAGATTCTGCTTCTGGGGGCCTGGGGCAGGATGTGAGATTCTGCCTTTCCAGCAAGCCCCCAGATGCTGCTGCTGCTGGTCTGAGAACCACACTTAGAATAGCCAGGACCTAAATATCCCTTGATGTCAGACTTTTCAGCCATGAACAATCATTGGGCTAATGGAGGTTGCACTGAAGGCCCAGCATTTTCCACAAGCATGTACACTGTATGTACCTCACTTTGGAAAGGATCTGGTAGAACTCTGGTCCCGCAGGCAGATGACGGCCAACTGGTAAATTTCCTTATGCATCCTCTCAGAGATCTCTTCGGATGGGTCTAAAAAACCAGAAGATCAGAATCGTGATTCAGAACCGTTTGTCTGTAGGGATATTTTAGGTCCATGTTGCCTGGAGACTTAGGGTTGAACTAGCAGCTTTCTCAGTAAAGGTGTTCAGGTGCTTTAGATCTGAGACCCTGAGAGGCATAGAAATAATCAGTACCAGTCAAGCCTTCGTAAATGTAGCACTCTTTCAGACTAGAAAAGCACTCACGTGTAATTAACATTGGTGGCAAACAAGTCAGTGACTATTTCTCATCTCCTATTTTTGATCACTCATTTCCCCCCTTGAGATAGTTCTTTTGATTTCAGCTATTGATGCTGTATCACAGATATTTTCAAAGTCACTGCAGAGAACCTAGTAAATCCTACCTTTTTCTAGCAGTAAAGTTAGCCTTAGGCATGATAGCTGCCCTTGTGACTCTCTACTTGCTCCATGTCCTGATGAAAGCAATGGAAACGTCAGGAGAAGATAGGAGATGATGCAGAGCTGGCCACAGGGCCCACATCATGACATTGTATTGTGATCAGTTGTCTCCATGTCGATCTCCCTCCTCCCAGGAGCATTTCTCTTTGACCTTCTTGTGCCTTAGCAGACGGCACCGGCTGGGAACTAACTCAGTGAAAATGTGATGATGAGGTCCAGCTTTTCCTCCAAAGTCCTTGCTGAAGAGGCCTGGGAATGTCCGAGGCAAAAGCATATCATGCAGCCCCACAGTGGAACCTGCTCCTCCTCTTCTGCCTTATTTATCATCACTGAGGAGGTGCCTCTGATTGGTTAAGCACCTGTGTTTTCATATTTAGGTTTCTACTTATCATCTAATGAACTAGTACTCCCTGATGAAACCTGAGATAATAGAAAGCAATAGATACAGCAAATTAAAAGAGAAAAATCTCTTTAGGTTGTGGATGGCAGAAGTACAAATTCAGAAACTTGGAATTTCAGGGTGTTTTGCTAACCCAGCTTTCAAAATCCTAGGGTTGATTTAATTTGTTGGCTTTCTCTCCACCCTTCCAAGCTGCTTTATCAGTTTTTATTTTTTGCCTTTAAGCGGGAGACTGAGGCAACCACAAACATTTAGCTTATTATTTTCCATGACTACAGTTAAAGTCAGTGGGAGATTCCACAGGTCTGTAGTACCCAAGATATTCCCAAGTAAACTGATCCTGTTTAATCCACATTCTTTCCCTTATGAGCTCATCTTTTGTCTGAGGTACAAAACCTTCCAAAAATTCTGAGATCATTGTTCCATGCCTAGATGCTATTTATTTGCATGTGACACTTCTGTTATAATATCCATACCATGAGGAGTAAGTCCCAGGGCAACCAAGAGTGGTTTTATCTTTGATGAGGTCTCAGGCTTACTTGCTAAATCTCCAGCCAAGTTCTTAGGTCATCTCACTGTTACTGCTGCAAGAATGTCATATTTCTGTAGCATTAAAGTAGCTTTTTCTAGATCCCTCTGTCCCATGCATTTCCCTCCAGAGCTACTTTATTCCTACCAATTACCCTTGATAAGTATCCCTCCTTTAATACCCAAACTCCTATTCAGAGCTGCACTCAACAACATATGTTTGGAATCCGTCTTGGACTTTTGGGCCAAATGCACTTCCTGCAGGAGAGTCTGGTCCTGACATTGCTTTGGGGGCACCTAGATGCATATCTCTGCACCTCAGGAAGCATCCATGATTCTGACTACTGAGTTTGTGAGATTCTTGAAGGACCTGTATCCTACTCCTCAATCTGCCTCCTATAGTATGTAAGCAGTGACCCCTTGTTTTTGTTCCCTCCAAATGGCTTTATTATTAACTTCTCATTACAAAAATACATGTTAGTGTAAAACATTCAAACAATACAGATCAGTATACTGAAGTAAGGAAAACAGTACCTTAAATTCCACCACATGGAGACCGATACAGTTCACAATCTTCAGGACCCTTTTCTACGCAATTGGAATGGACTCTTTTGGCCAACTAATATTTCAGCAAGTACAGATATGGGAATAGGTATTTATTTGCTTTGGATTGCATTGCAGTTTGAACAGAAGTATAAGGCTGTTTCTAATTCCTACCCCCTCACCTAATTTCTTTAGCCTCCCCTCTTTCTTTCCTCTTCACTCCTCTCTTACCAGCCCCCCCAGCAGCCCCTGAGGGGCAGCCATGGCTGCTGCAGTTGCCAGGGAGAGGAAGAGAAGGAAGGAGGTGCAGGTGGTCAGGCAGTGGGAAGCACGTTGCATGCTGTCACTTCCAGGAGAATTGGCCCTCGCTACTCCTGCCAGGTGGGAGTTGAAGTGACGTCAATCTCCCTTTTTATACTGTCCCCTTATTTTTTTCTACTCTCTCCACCTTTTGCCTCCTTCCAAGGCAGCAGAAGGGAGGTATCTGCAGAGAGGTAGCAGCACAATCATCAAGCTCTGCCAGAGATTCTGATTTAGGGGGTGCACAGCTCCTCTTTGAGACATGCTGCTCCGTTCATTGCAGACCAGGTGCAGCTTACAGCTGAATAAGAATCACCCGGGGAGATGGTTAATCATACAAATTCCTGCACCTCATTCCCGGAGATTCTGATTTTGCAGAGCTGGGATATGACCCAAGACTTTGTGTTTTGTTTTATTTTTAACAAGATCCCTAAATGATCCTGATGAGCAGCAGGTTAGCCCGTGCTCCCCTGGCTGTTCAAAGCCTAGTTCACGGACAGGCATCAACAGCATCTATCACCTGGGAGCTTGTTAGAAGTACACATCATCTCCGGCCTCAGCCTCGGCTTACTGAGTCAGAGGCCGTCTTTTAACAAGAGCTGGGCATGAGTCGTGTTGCATGCTGGTTTGAGCAGCACTGCTCTACCTCACTGCTACAGAATGGGAAAATTCTGCTTCGTGGGGTTAAACCATAAACATCGTGACCTACTTGATGCCCACCTGTGGATCTGCTGGTGCGATTTCACAACGTGTTCCTACAATTTACAGCACCATTTTCCTAAAAGAGAGGTGGTAAATAGTACACATAATTTCAAGTTAAAGGAAACTCTCCACCACTTTGAACCTTGGCTTGTCTTTGATTTTATGCATGAAGTCCTCATAAAAGAAATCAAGGTTTGCAGGAATATTTTAGACTAGAGGTTAAAACTGGCCCATATTTTTCTCTTTAGCATGATTTGACATTTCAGCTCTTATATAACAAAGCTCTTGGTAAAAACTTCAAGTGGCCCTAGGTAATGTTTGTCTCAACTTATGTACTGCTTATGCCCAACTAGTAACAAATGCATTTCAGTAGAACAAAAACAGCAATTCAACATTTCTTTTAATCAGTGAGCTCATACCCCCCACCAGTTCCTGTGGAGCCATCGTTCAGGGAAACCTTTGGCCTTCTATGTTGTTTACAAGAGCCTCTTGACTAGAATTGTGATTCACCTAGATTTGTCCCAGAAAAATTACCCTTAAGCATTAGCATGTTGAGCTCAAGTTATTGTTTCATAAAGATACTGTAAAGAAATACTTCCTTTTCTCCCACTAACAGAAGGTCATGGAATTCTCTCCCTATCTAACTAGTTTAGATGCAGGGTAAACCCTAAATAAAGTTGTTCATGATAAGCTGATCTTCAGGGCCCTGTACCTTCCATTTCCATGGTTTTCTCCTTTAGGGGCACCTTTTTTCTGTACAGTTCTTAAAACCTGTAACTTCTCTGTGCCTTCTTGCTTGTTTCAAAACCTATTGCCTTGGTGATTTCTCAAGTCTTTTTAACACTGCATTCATTAGAACAAGAAACCTATCTCTAGAGCCTTAACCCAAAGGGTACCCTCCCCGGGAATGGCACAGGCTCACTATGGTGCCAGTACAGTGGCTCTGTGATGCCTCCTTCTTTCTCCCTGCTCTGCCATTTTTAATATTAGCTCTTGTCCCTGGGTTTGCAATATGGCTGCTGTGCCTCCACAAATTATGTCCTTCTTTTGTGAAGGTAGAATGGAAAAGGGAAAGGACTATAGTTCTTAGAAGTCTGCTGCCTTTAGCAAGCTTTCTGGGCAGCCCCTCCCAATGATGTCCTCTTATATCTCAGAAGTCAGAGTTGGGTCACATGACCACCCCTAGCTGAACTGGAATTTGGGCACATTGCTCTCCCCAACCCCGAAATTGGAGTTTTGTAACCAGAAAAAAAGGAGAAAATGGGTATTAGGTAGGCAGTTAGCAAGATCTGCCACTATACTTAGTTGTAAGTAACTTGTAAGATATTTGCATTTTAAAGGGCAACAAAGCCTTATGCCAAAGGAGTACAACTTGAATAGTAGAATTTGAGGCCTTGGCTACTGTGTACTTAGTCTTTGCTTCTACGGATGAGAAATTCCTACTGCCTCTCAGCTCTCCCTATGCAGAATACATGCCTGATCTTTTTGGGTATAAGTTGGAGCCTGCTTAGCTCAGAAACCACAGACTCCCAGTGTGAGACTTGGCTCAGCCCCAGCTGTGTTCTGGGAAGTGATGTTTCTAATCAGTCTTTAAAACAGAAAGATCTTCCTAAATCCTGCTTTTATTTTGGGAAGGTGTTAGAATACTTACCTTGAATGGTGTTTCCTATGCTCAGTTAATTGTTTTGATCAGATTGATAATCTTCTGCAATCCACACATGCTTGATTTTTAAACTAGCAGCATATACTTAAGGTAAGGGCTTAATAAAATCAAATTCTTGCTAAACCTCGATGATTATCGAGGATGCTCTAACTTTCCAAGGATGCTCTAACTTTCCTGTCTGGACAGGCCCTTGATGTGGCACTTACTCTTTCTCTAGGGGAGAGGACCTCAGGACAGAAGGATGGCTGCCTTCTTGGCCTCATGCTTAGTGTTGAGAAAATGGCCAGGCCTCTAGGGCGAGTGGCCTTGGATAGCTGGAAAACAGGGACTTCAAGTGAAATAGGGTTGGTGATCAGGTCCTGAGACTGAGAGCCAGAGAAATTAGACTCTTTTTTCCTGCTGTCATGGGCTGGAGGGGGAACTGTGAAGAACGAACACAGAAATCTCAGTGCTAGAAAGTGTCAAAAAGGCGAGGTAGGGTCAGAGGCAAAGGGTGCTCTGTGTGACCAAGACAAAGCACCAGGTAAAGAAAGACCCTGGAAAGGAGTGAGAAATTGCTGGGGCCAGAGTTTTAGAAAGAAAGCCCAGATTAGAGTTTATGTGAGAGTCCCTGCTTCTTGTCTCTTTTAACTTTGGGGCATCTGGGTGGCACTCACGGGGTCTCCACGAGTCTGTGGGCCTTTGGGAATTGTATGTCACTGTAAGTGCTCTGAATGTATAAAGTTTGGGGAAAGGTTCTGGTTACAGTTGGTATCGCTGCTTAACAACCATCCCAAATTGGTGGCATAAATAACAACCACCATTTTGTTAAGCTCACGGCTTCTGGGGCTCAGGGATTCAGACAAGGCACAGTGGGGATGACTTGTCTCTGACCCATGATGGTTGCTCTCTGGTCCTCAGCTGGTTTGCGGTCCCTTGAGTGTCTGGGGGCTAGAATTATGTGGAGGATTTTTCCCTCCCATGTCAAGGGTCTGGGCTGGGATGACCTGGTGGCTGGGCTCAGCGGGCCTGTTGGCCAGACGGCCCACACATGGCCTCCCCGTGTGGCTCGGGCTTCTCACAGTGTGACAGCTGGTTTCTGAGAGGGAAAGCCCAAGAGGGAGTCTCGCTATGATGTGAGTGCTCCAGGCGAGCTAGGGAGAGCCACACGGCCTTCTGCGGCCTCGGCCTGGGAATCACATGGCCCCCTTTTCACCATTCTTTTGTGGTTGAAGCAGCTACAAGCCTGCCTATACTCAAGGCAAAGAGTCCCAGAGCCGCCTCCTCTTGATGAGGAATTTGAGTCCTTTAAACAAACAAATGCCCACTCCCTGAACTGGCAGTTGAAATGTTAACTGTACATTTTCTAGCTGTGTAACCTTGGGCAAAAGACTCAACTTCTCTGAACTCTCCTTTTCTCATCTACCAAATAGTAGGTGCCCATCTCATACGGTTTGGTGAGGACTAAATGAGATAAACTTACACAGAAGGATCTAGCACATTGCCTAAAATATAATGTCTTCAAAATTGCTTGAGCCTAAATCTGAAGAATGCTTGGAGAATACCAAGTCTAAAATAGGATTATTTTCTCAGGTGCTGAATCAGGGATTATGTTGAAAGATGTATTGTGCTTTTTTCCAGGTGGTTGTGGACACAAATATTTTCCAAGTATCTTCTCCTTCTTCCAACCATCAATACCATCCAGAAGTGAACTTTTGAAAATTTCTTTGCACTTCCTTGAGCTCTTGTTCTCTCTGCATCTTTTATGTGTAATTTATTTTTCCATTCCTGAATCTATGAAACTTCTTGCATCCTTAAAATATGGGATTGATTTAGTTGTAATTTTTTGGAAAAATGATGAACATTCTGTGCTCAGCGGGAGTACTCATTTAGAGATGTTTTTCTCTGAGCAAAGAACAGTGGTTCCTGGATACCGTGCCATTTTGATAACTTGGTGTAACAGTTTTAATTAATCAAGAAGGATGAGTCTTCTGAGGGTGCTCTCAGGAGAGCCTGATATGACTGACAGCAGTTCTTGCTGAATAGCATACACACTTTGCCCCACCAGAAGCAGTGATCCTGAGTAATACCATTATCTATATACTGAAGATTGCTGGGAGGACGAGCTACTGTGGATAGGGAGGGAATCTCACAGTTCAACAAGAGATATTGCTGATGACAATAAAGGTGCATTGAGAGCTACAAGTTAGCTTTCTGTCCATGGGGTGGCTGTGTTCTTTTCAGTTTATGGGTTCAGCACATCATACTGTGGTTCAAATCCTTCTAGCAAAGTTCATTTATGTACATGAGAAATAAAAACTTGGTAATAAAATGTACAGAAATAGAAATATTTTGATCATGAGATACTAAAGTGGTTCTTAAAATGTGATTTATTATAACCAAATGTAGCTGATGCTTTTGAGCCCCAAATCCCATTCAAATCCTCTGCCTTCCTGTGATTTCGGCAGTAGCTGTGGCAGCCATTTCCTGCACATGTAGAAGGCTTCTCTCAAGTTATTGCCACATCTTGCTCAGTCTGTATATATGGCAGCCTGAGAGTACGGCGCAGAGTGATGCATGGGAGTTAACACCTGGGGATACTGCTCGGAAACAAAAGGCGATGGGCATGGGCCCGTAAGTGCTTCCTGTCTGATGGAGGAATAATTTCAAGGCACATTCTACACCGTTTCCCAGTAGGGCCCAGCAGGAGAGAGATCCAGTTGCCCATAGCAATAATCAGTTCAATAACACCCTTCACTGGCTTCCCTCCTTCTCTGCTTTACTCTCCCTGGCTCTACATTCCTGATCCCGGATCACCTCCCAAGTGAGCCACCTGCATCCACATATTTGTTTCAGACTCTGCTTTGAGGGAACCCCAAATTGAAACATCAAGCATCCTGGCTGAGTTGGATCTGAAATTCAGACATGACCCAGGGAAGAGGTTCCCCATTCCAAGCCTAGTATCTATTGCTTTGCACTGATTATCATGGGAACTAAGGGCTCACCTGAACAGAGTACTCAAACTGTGTCCTCAAGGTGGCGTAGACTTACAAAGACACCACCTGATGGACTGGGGTAGGGAATAGGGCTTCTGAGAGAGAATTCCCCTTTCAGGAAGAAGGAGTCTGCTGCGATTCACTCATTTAATCAACAGATATTAATATTGAGAGTCTGCTATGTTCCAGGTACACCTCTATATGCTAGGGATATATCATTGAATGAAAGCAACAAAATTACTTGCACTTGTGAGTTCATATTCTAGTGGAAGAAGACAGACAATAAACAATTAAAACAATCTCAAGTAAATTTTGTATTATTTTAGAAGAGGTGCAGGGCTAGGGTATAAAAAGTGAGGGAGATTAGCAGTATAGGCAAAAAAAGGTGACGGTGTTAACATACCATGTTATGGTGGTGTCTCAGTCTGCTCAGGTTGCCATGACAACATACCACACTGGGGGGCTTAAACAACAGACGGCTATTTTCTCACAGTTCTGGAAGACAAAAGTCCATGATCAAGGTGCTGGAAATTTTGGTTTTCTGGTGAAAGCTTTCTTTCTGTTTTATAGATGGCTGTCTTCTTGCCAAGTCTTCATATGGCCTATCGTCTGTGCTCACATGTGGAGAGAGAGACAGCGCTGATGTCTCTTCCTCTTACAAGGACACCAACCCTCTCGCATTAAAGCCCCACCCTTGTGACCTCATTTAACCTTTACTACCTCGTTGTAGGTCCTATCTCCAAAAACAGTCACAGTGGGGATTAGGACTTCAATATGTGAATTTAGGGGGAGCACAATTCAGCCCATGCCAGGTGGTTTGGATAGGCATCTTTTACAAGGGGACACACCAGCAAAAATGTGAAGGACTGAGCAAGTTATCCATGTGGCTGTCTCAGGGAAGAGAATTCCAGGAAGCAGGAATGGCTAGTACAAATGTCCTGACAGGACCTGCCTGCTCTGACAGGACTGTCCGAGTAATAGTGAGAACATCATTGTGGCTGAAGGGGAGGTTGTCGAAGGAGTTGTCGGAAATGAGATTGAAGAGGGAGGCGTGAGCCGGATCACACAGGGCCTTCTAGGGACTTTTAGGACGTTCTCAGAATGTTACCTTCTCTGATGGGAGACATGGGAAGCCAGACTCAGCAGCAAAGTCAAAAGGTTGGATGAGGAGCAGAGGTTTTAGGCACAGATGGCATGGTGACTCTTACTTGTCAATGTTCTGATCCAGGAACCCTTGTGGGTTTCTGTTGAATGAATGAATGAAGTCTATGCTACAAAGAACCAGGAACTATGATTATTGTCCAAAACAAAAACAGAAACAGTCAATAAACTACGTGATTTGTTGGGGCCCAAGTAACGTGTCTGTGGGTGCCGTGTAACAGCACAAATCACAGGGAGAGAAGCCATTCCTGGCCTGGCCTCAGGGAAGACTGGAAGTGTCATCTGCGACTGCTGCCAATCTGAGGCTGTTCAGCAGTGGGGAGGCCCAGTGTTGGTAGATGACCAGACCAGAAAATCTGAGGGTCCTGTTGCAGCTCAGACTGCCCAGGGTAGCAAGAAAAAAGTTAACAGACTGCCATGTATATAGGATTTGGAATATACAAGAAAAGTGGCATCTCAAATTTATAGTGAAAGAAGAAATACTTTAACAAATGAGGCCAAGACACTTGTTTAATGATGTGGAGCTTTATTTAAACCTAGATGGATTGAATATTTGAATATTTGAAGTAAAAAAATATTGTCAGAGAAGCAGTAGGTACATATCTCAGGTTGGGAAGGACTTTCTAAGCATTTCCTCCATAGGAGAAATCAGAAAGATAAAGATGGAAATATATGCTCATAAGGAGGTTTAGAGGTTCTACATGGCAAAAGTGCCATAAAGATACCTGTAAACCTGGAAAAATATATTTGTAACGTCCATGACAGAGAGAAGCTTGATATCCTTAGCATTTAAAGGGCTGTCATATGTCAATAAGAAAAAAAAACTAATAGAAAATGGATTTAGGTTGCGAATAGTCAAGTTACTAATGAAGAGACATATGAAACATTAAAACATGTGAAACAAAAATGCAAATCAAAATAATAATGAGATGTCCTTTCTCAGAATAGCAAGGATAAAAAGATCGCAGACATGTCTTGGCTGAGATGTGGGAAAGCAGTCACTTTTTCATATACTATTGGTTGCTACTGATAGAATTATTCTGCTGAGAAATTTGGCAACATATATCATATCTATATATATTATTTAGCTCAAAATTTCCATTTTTAATCATTTATTGCAAGGCCATGATCCAATATACATGTAAAGATGGGTGAACACGAATGTTAATTTTTATGCTGTTTATACAAAATAAAAATGGAATAATCTAAATGTCTAATAATAGATGGCTTAAATAATTAAAGGTGCATCTAAAATGGAATACTATGCAGTAACCAAGAATAGGTATATTAACATGAAATTTTAAAAATATAATTGTGAGTAGAAAATATAATTCACACATCTTCAGGTATTCTGGAGTGCAGTCCCATGTGCTTGCATGTTTATGCCTGCATAGAAAAAGTGATAAAATGGTAGCAATACTCTGTGTGTGATTGTTTAAAAAGATGTTTTCTTTTTGCTTATCTGTATTATCTATTTACTTTTCAATGAGATTATATAACTTGAATAATGAGGAAATACTAAAAAAAAATCGAACTTTAAATTATATGTTTAAATTACTAAGTTCTTGTATACCTAATATTGAAATGTTTCTGGTATTTCTCAAGTTAAGGTTTTCTCAAGTCTAGCTCATTTAATTTTTAAAAATATTTACGTCAAGGAAATCTTGTATTTTACATAACTTAGCATTTCCTCTGGCTGTGAATTTTGCCTCTACCTGATTATTATGACCACTATATTTTTCTCTCCGACATGTGACATTTTAACAATAATGGAATGAGCAAGAGGAACAATTAGAATAAAGGCCAGGATTATACTTCTCTAGAGGCTGATTGAGGCAGAAAAAGTTACCTGTGCGAACATGGGCTTTTTCTTTGTATCAACTTTGTTGAGATGTAATTCTCATACCCTATAATTCACCCATTTAAAGTGAAAAATTCAATGTTTTCAGTATAGCCAGAAAGTTGTGCAAACATCACCATAATCAATTTAGAACATTTTCATCACTCCAAATAAAAACCCCATTCTCTCAGCAGACAACCTCCATTTCCTCAATTCTTCCAGCTCTAGGCAACCACTCTATAGATCTGCCTATTCTGGGCATTTCATATAAATGGAACCATATAATATGTGGTCCTTTGTGACTGGCTTCTTTTATTTAGCATCATGTTTTGAAGGTTCATCCATGTTGTAGCATGTATCAGCACTACGGTCCTTTTTATTGCTGACTAGTATTTCATCAAATGGATATTCCCCATTTTATTTATCTATTCACTGATTCATGGACATTCGAAAAGCAAGGCCACATAAGGCCTAAGCTCCAGGTAGCACAAAGTAATACCTACCACATTCTTTTGGTCAAAGCATGTCACAAGTCTATCCCAGCTTCGAGGGGTAGGGAAATAGATTCCAGTTCTTCATGAAAGGTGTATCCAAGTCACACTGCAAAGGGGCATGGACCCAGGGAGGTCTGATTCATTGGGGGCCATTATTATTTCTCCCTGTCATACTCGTTATTCAATTTGATTATTTTCAATTGTGGATGAGGTTATTTTCTAGCCATTTGCATTCTCTTTTAGATTATTCTTTGGACATTTTTATATCTTGTCTTAAGGGTATCCTAATTTTCAAGGACTCATTTATATTATGGATGTTAATTTTAGTCTATGATATTTGTTGCAAATCTTTTTCTCAATTTGTTGATTTACTTTTCATTCTGTATATATCTTTTTCTTAGTCATTTTAAAAATAACTTTTAAACTTAGGAAACCTTCACTCAAAAATCATATACTTACCCTACTAGCTAGATTTTTATGAGGTCTGATTATTTATGTTTAGCTTTTTAATCTATTAAAGTTTATTTTGGTGTATGATATAGTAATAGTTTAATGTGATTTTCTTGGATAGCTGTCAATTTCTACTCTACACCTCTTATGGAAAAATCCATCCTTTCCCAAGTGAATTGCAATACCTACTTCCATCATATGGGAAATGCTTATGCATTCCAGAGTCTTGTTCTTGCATTATTTCTTCTCTATATAAATCTTTTACCAATGTCTCATTATTTCAATCATTCAAAATTTATAAATAGCTTTACAATCTAGAAGAGCAAGCCTATTATCATTTCTCTTCAAAAGCTTTCTTGGTTATTTTTTGCCCATTGTCCTTCCATATGAACTTCAGAAATATATTGTCAAATTAAAATCAACCCTTATGAGATTATGACCAGGAGGACTGCATTACTCCTTGTTTAGGAAGAATGGACATCTTTACAAGATTAAGTCTGCCCAACCAGAAACATGGTATCCAAGTCTTCTTTCATTTCTTTTAATAAAAGAATCTTTTAAATATATATAGGATCCAAACATTTCTTATTGTAAGTCACTTTAGAGTATTTTTTTAGGCGGTGTTACTGCATTTTCATTATACTTTTTTCTGCTTATTACTGAAACTATTGATTTCACGATAATTACCCTACACATTCAGCCACTTTTTTGAATGTGCTTATTAATTCTAATAGTTTTTCTATTGATTTCCTTACCTTAACTAGGCGTGCAATCTTAATGTCTGATAATAAAAATTCTTTCTTCTGCCTGCCAATAGTCACACCTCTTTTTTTGGTTTAACATCTTATTGTGTTGGCCAGAAATTCCAGAACAATATTAGATAGGACTTGTGCGGTTTTGCAAGCAGCAGCAAAGGGGTTTTGTAACCAGAAACTCATTTCAATGTTTCATATTTTATGCTGTAATATGGATCTAATATGCTCTGGTTTTCTTTTCCCAAGGCCAATCCTCTTGTTTATATCATTTTACTATTTTTATTATTCCTCTGAGTATATGGTGAAGAATATTCACAAATTCTCTATTAAAAAGCCCATAGTAACATGAAAAGAATTATTAAATATTTCCTTACTTTTCTCTTCTTTCTTTTTCCTTTCACTTCTCCATTTTTTGTTTATCAAAAGTTCTCAAATTGTGATTTTTCCCTGGGTCATTTCCAAATTTTCCATGTGTTCGTTTAACTATGGAATGTAGAAATTGACCCCATCTTTTGGGAAGGGTTGAATCTTGTGACTAATTGAAAGGATTAGCTCACAGTTCTTACTAGTTATAATTTCAGTGTTTTGCTTGGTTTCTAGGGTGCACTGCTCAGCCTTTTATTTGTTATGGAAATTAGGTCTTTAGCTGACATAAAATCACATCTGGTTCAACTGACATTTACTTCCCAGAAGCAAACAAGCTCATTACAAAAAAGTCCTTCCTAGACCTACATCCCTCTTTTACCCCACTTCTCTTATTGCAGCAAAACTTCCTCAAACGTTAGTTTACACTCTTGATCTTCACTTCCTGAGTTCATATTCTCTCTTTAACCCATTTCAGTCTGGGTTAAATCTTTAGCCTCCATTGTGCCTCTGAAACTGCTCTTATCAAGGACCCTATCACCTCCACATTGCTGCACCCCTTCATTGGTCAGTTCTCAGTCCTCATCCTATCCATTCTGCATACCAACATCCAGCTCTTACCAGTATTTCAGCAGCATTGAAATTGGTTGTTTGCTCCTCAGTTGCTTCAAGGGTGCCACTCTTCTGGATTTTGTTCTACTTCTCTGGCTGTTCCCTCTGTCCCATTTGCTGGTTCTCTTCCACTTCCTGCCTTCAAAAAATCATGGCAAACTATACACAAAATAAAAATGACCAATTTTAACCATTTAAGTGTACAGTTCAGTGATATTCAATACATTCACGATGTTGCATGACCATCACTGCTCTCTATTTCCAGAACATTGTCATCAACCTCACCAGAAATTCTGTACTCATTAAACACTAACTCTTCATTCCTGCCTCCACCTGACCCATCCCCTGGTAACCTTCATTCTACTTTCTGTCTCTATGAATTTGCCTATTCTAGATAATTCATAAAAGTAGAATCATACAATATTTGTCCTTTTGTGTCTGGCTCCTTTCACTTAGCATAATGTCTTCAAAATTCATCCATGTTGTAGCATGTATCAGAATTTCATTCCCATTTATGGTCAAATAATATATGTATATCTCACATTTTGTTTAGCCATTCATCCATTGATGGACATTTGCATTTGAGTTATTCCACCTTTTGGCTATTATGAATAATGTTGCTATGAATACTGGTATACAAGTATCTGTTTGAGTTTCTGCTTTTAATTTGTTTGGGTGTATGCTTAGGAGCTGAATTGCTAGATCATATAATAACAGCATGTAACTTTTGAGGGACTGTCAAATGGTTTTCCACAGTGGCTGCACCGTTTTATATTCCATTCCCACCAGCAATGCTGAAGGGTTCCAATTTCTCCACATCCTTGTCAACACTTGTTATTTTCCTTTATTTTAATAGCCATCCTAATAGCTGTTCAGTGGTATCTCACTGTAGTTTTGACTTGCATTTTTCTAATGACTAATGATACTGAGCATATTTCATGTGATTGTTGGCAATTTGTATATCTTCTTTGGAGAAACATGTATTTCCTTTGCCTATTTTTGAATCAAGTTGTTTGTTTTTTGGTTATTAAGATATAGGAGTTCTTAATTTTTTCCTGGATATAATCTCTGATCAGATATGTGATCTGTAAATATTTTTCCATTCTGCAGGAGTCTTTTTTACTGTCTTGATAGTGTCTTTTGATGCACAAAAGTTTTTAATTTTGATGAAGTCCAATGTATCTTTTTTTTTCTTTTGTTGCTTCTGCTTTTGGCATCATATCCAAGAAATCATTGCCAAATATAGTATCATGAAAATTTTCCCTTATGTTTTCTTCTGAGAATTTTATAGTTTTACCTCTTGAGTTTAGGTCTTTAAAGAAACCTCCATACTGCTTTCCATAGTGGCGGCACCGGTGTACATTCCTACTGACAATGTATGAGGCTTCCCTTTCCCCGACGTCCTTGACAACACTTGTTATTTCTTGTTCTTTTTTGATATTAGCCATCCTTAATGGTATGAAGTGATATTCACTATGGTTTGTTTTGATTTGCATTTCCCTGATGATTATTGAACATTTTTTTCATGTGTCTGTTGGCCATCTGTATGTCTTGTTTGGAAAAATGTCTAAAAAGTAAAAACAGAAATGCCATAGGACCCAGTAATTCTACTACTGGGAATTTACTCAAGGAAAACAAAACTCCTAATTCAAGGAGATATCTTAACCTCTACATTTATTGGTGCATTATTTACACTAGCCACAATATGGAAGAAATCTAAGTGTCCATCAATAGATGAATGGATAAAGAAGATGTGGTACATATACACAATGGAATACTACTCAGCCATAAAAAAGAAAGAATTCTTTCCATTTGTCACAATGTGGATGGACCTGGAGGGTATTAGGCTAAGTGAAATAAATCAAACAGGAAAGACAAATACTATATGATTTCACTTACACTGGAATCTAAAAAACAAAACAAACAAACAAAACAGAAGTAGACTCATAAACACAGACAATGGACTGTGTTGGTTACCATAGGGGAGGAGTGTGGGGGGGATATGGGTGAAATAGGTGAAGGTGATAAAGAGGTGCAGACTTCAAATTATAAAATAAATTAGTCACAGGGATGAAAGTACAGCATAGGTAATAGAGCCAATAATACAGTAATATCTTTGTATAGAGACAGATGGTAACTATACTTAGAGTGGTGAGCACTTAGTAATGTATGTGTTGTTGAATCACTACATTGTACATCCAAAACCAATATATTATTTATCAACTATATTAAAAAATTTTTTTTTAAGTTTGGGTCTTTGATCCATTTTAAGTTAATTTTTGTATATGGTATAAGGTAAGCATCCAACTTTTTCCTTTACATGTGGATATCCAGTTTTCCCAGCATCTTTGTGACTTTATAAATATTACAGCATGCCTCAGCACATTCTTTTGTTCACTGCTCCTTTGCATCCTCTATATCTAGATGACCTCCTTTGCTGATCTCAATCAGTCTTATGGCTTTAAAAGTATCTATATACTGATGTTTCCTGGATTATATCCCCAACCTAGATCCCTCCCCTTGACCTCCAGTTTCTTACATTCCAGTTGGTGCATATTTTCTCCCTTGGAACTCCATACACGAATTCTGCATTTCCAATTTGGGCATTAAAACTCTTAACATATCCAAAAATTAACTTAGGACCCTCATCCTCTGTCCAAACATGCTCCTTCCCTAGCCTTTCTTAAAATAATTTTTTTATTATTATTATAGAAAGACTACCCAATATCCTTAGTCACTTGGGCCAAAAACTAAGATTTAATCCTTTACTTTGCTCTTTTTCTCATATCCCACATATAATCCATCAATGTATCCTGTGGGTTCTACTTGCCATATATAATCTAAATCCAACCACTTCTCACTCATCTGCAGTAATCTCCCTAGCTCAAGGCTCCCTCCTCTTCTCTTGCTGGGATTCTGCAGGAACCTCATAATCTTCCACTCTTGCAATCCTATAGCTGATTCTTCACACAATACCAGAATAATTCTTTAGAACTATAAATTAGATCACATTATTTCCTTGCTCAAAACTCGCCAATGCTTGCTATCATAATTAGAAAAGAAAACAAATTCTTACTGTGGGCCAAGGGCCCCAGTTCCAGTTACTACTGCTATAGAGCAAATCACTTCACAATTTAGTGGCTTAAAATAACCACCAGCTTTGATACTTTAGAAAGTTGCGTGGGTCTTGGTTGGTTGGTTCTTCTGCCTCATCCTGGAGTCAACTGAAGTCATTGAGGCGGAGTCAGCTGGTGGGAGGGCTGATCTGCTGGGTCCCTGACAGTTTCACACATATGCCCGGCCCCTTGGTGGGGTGAAAGGAAGGTGGGTGCAGCTGGGACTCTTGGCCGGTGTGCCTCCATGTGGCCTCTCCAGTGTGACAGACTCAGGGCAGGCACTTCAATCACCCTAAGNNNTTCACTTGTATCCCTAGCACCTTGAACAGAGACTGACACATAAAGTTGTTTCATCATACTTGTTAAATGAGCAATTGAATTCACTTACATGTTTTCCATTCTCGCTTATAATTCTTTTTTATTTCACTATGAGGAGAAAATACATTTCCAGTTTCTTGTCTTTGGGGGAAGTTTTCTCCCACTGGTGGCTGTTTATTAATTGGCAGGCATTTGATTTTGAAAGACTTTTGGTGCATCCATTAAACTTCTGGACAAATACTAAATGAAAGCAGCAAAGTCTATTTCTCTAGTCTTTGATTTGTGTTTTTAGTTGGTTTTGTTTGCGCTTCTTTATTAAGCCCAGGCTAGATAATACCTTCATGGTTTCTATGTGCCAAAGTGAAAGCCTGAAAATGATTTTTAATTTTCCACTAGAAATACATTTACAAAAATAAAACCTTATGGAAATTGCTTTCATAAGACTGGGCTTGTCTTAATTAAGTTGCCTCAGGCCCTGTTAAAACATGTGTTTTCTCTTACCTGAAGAATCCTAGGAAACAATGTGTATATTTGCATCCTATTTCATTCCAGAAAAGGAGCTGGGGCACAGTATGCTCACAATTGGAGAGAATTAGTAAATTGGGGCAAGGAAAAGTAAGGTTCCAAAAAGTAAATATTTGTCCCTATAGCAACATGCCAGTCATTACATTAAAATGTGAAAAAGAGAAGCTTGCAATAGGGTTTTTTTTTCAATTGCAAAAGTCCCATTTGGGTGTTTTAATCCCAGGAGATGGACAATGATGGAAATGAATCTACTTGTGCAGACTAAGCTGTGACTGGAGTACACTGATTTAAAAAAAAATGCTACAGAAATATTGGTCCTTTCCATGGAGTTTTAAATATTTTTATTTACTTATTTTATGTAGATCAATTGATGATATTTTTATTTGCCTTCTGGGAATTATCAATCTGAATATTCTGAATGTCACCTCTGGATCTAATATTATTTTTTTATTCTGTACCAACATTTGCAATTCTGTTGTATGAGTCTATTGAGCGCTTGCTTTGTGCCTAGGTTTTTGCTATTGCCCTATCTATGGATTGGGGCAACATAGAAATCAAAAGAAAATTCAATGAACAAACCATAATGTCAGGAGTGTTTGCAATATGTTCAGCTCAACCATCATTTGTTGGGTACTTACTGTATGAGTCATGAACTCAAGAGTATGTATAGACCAAGCAGATAAGTTCGTGCAGCAGGACAGGTGTATGGAAAATCAACTGCCAGAAATGTAACCAAGCTTTCCTTGTTTTTATAAAAATACTGGTGTAAAAAAGATAACATAATAAACTGATATACTAATGGAGATGATATTTTACCAAACACATGGGCAAATGGAAATTGAAAATAGACATAGTTAATCATTATTTTCTTTCATGTTTCATTAGTTTTTTGTTTGGAACTCGAAAACAGATACCTTAACTTCTGCAAAAACATGAAGTATGAGGTCTTATATTTCACATGGTGAGGTGCAGGGTAGAATTCAGCCTTGAATCCTCTAACTGATTTTGCTACTTAGTTGAATTCAGTTTCATAATAGAAAGAAGGTCTTCATAAATTGATAGTTCATTTTGAACACAGATAGGGTTGTTGCACAGTGTTTTTATATTTAGGATAAATAAATGTTATTATTTCACTTTTAGTATTTATTGCAGTGCAGTTCAATCACTTCTGTTTGAGCTCCCAATTCACACTATCAATGC